CAAAGTGGTTTCCCAGCTTTGCCTTCAGTTGCTTAGAATTGTAAAAAAAAAAAAAAAAAAAAATCTACAACTAATAGTCTTAACTTGGATTTTAACTTTAATTTGCCCAAAATGTCCAGGCGATGTCATACCTTGTTTGCGCTCACATCTGACAGCACAGCCCAGTATAAGCTGCAACAGCCTTCCCAGCTCCTCCAGGTTTGTGTGCTCTGCCACCAGAGACACATCTGGCAAAGGAAAGTCTGAGATTTCTTGAGCTAAAACCTGATGGCACACAAGCAAATATAAAGCACATAACGAGGATTGACGTGTAAAATAAAACTCTCTGTATATAGATATGTCAAAATGAATATGTAACATCAGCACTACAGTTTATGGCATTGTGAACAATATTACAGCTGTCTAACAAAGTTAAGTCAGGTCCACTGGAGGATTTTTCTTTGTTGAAACATTTCGTCTTTTATCCAAAAGGCTTGTCTCAGAGAAGACTCCTCAGACTGAAGAAGCCTTTTGGATAAAAGATGAAACGTTTCAACAAAGAATAATCCATCAAGAGGACCTGACTTAACCTTGTTATTTATTTATCTGGATTATTGAACATGCATCAGAATATTATAGCTGCTTGGTGTAATCTGATAGGAGCTGACCAATCTATTTTTTCTCAGGCAAATGAATAGGGTTTGCACAATTAGTGCACAATATGAATCCCTAAATACAAACCGGATTCCAAAACAGTTGGGACACTAAACAAATTGTGAATAAAAACTGAATGCAATGATGTGGAGATGGCAAATGTCAATATTTTATTCGTAATATAACATAGATGACAGATCAAAAGTTTAATCTGAGTAAATGTAACATTTTAAAGGAAAAATATGTTGATTCAAAATTTCACAGTGTCAACAAATCCCAAAAAAGTTGGGACAAGTAGCAATAAGTGGCTGGAAAAAGGAAATTGAGCATATAATGAACAGCTGGAAGACCAATGAACACTACTTAGGTCAACGGACAACAAGATTGGGTATAAAAAGAGCTTCTCAGAGTGTCAGTGTCTCTCAGAAGCCAAGATGGTAAGAGGATCACCAATTCCACCATTGTTGCGCAGAAAGATAGTGCAGCAATACCAGAATGGTGTTACCCAGCGTAAAATAGCAAAGACTTTTAAGTTATCATCATCAACAGTGCATAACTTCATGAAAAGATTCAGAGAATCTGGAACAATTGCTGTGCGTAAGGGTCAAGACCGTAAAACTCTACTGGATGCTCGTGATCTCCGGGCCCTTAAACGTCACTGCACCTCAAACAGAAATGCCACTGTCAAGGAAATAACAGAATGGGCTCAGGAATACTTCCAGAAAGCATCGTCAGTGAACACAATCCACCGTGCCATCTGCTGTTGCCAGCTGAAACTCTACAGTGCAAAGAAGCCATTTCTAAGCAAGCTCCACAAACTCAGACGTTTGCACTGGGCCAGGGGTCATTTAAAATGGAGTGTGGCAAAATGGAAGACTGTTCTGTGGTCAGATGAGTTACGATTTGAAGTTCTTTATGGAACACTGGGACGCCATGTCATCCGGACCAGAGAGGACAAGGATAGCCCAAGTTGTTATCAACGCTCCGTTCAGAAGCCTGCATCACTGATGGTATGGGGTTGCATGAGCACTTGTGGCATGGGCAGCTTGCATGTCTGGAAAGGCACCATTAATGCAGAGAACTATGTTCAGGTTCTAGAACAACATATGCTCCCATCTAGACGTCATCTCTTTCAGGGAAGACCCTGCATTTTTCAACATGATAATGCCAGACCACATTCTGCAGCAATCATAACATCATGGCTACGTAGGAGAAGGATCCGGGTACTGAAATGGCCAGCCTGCAGTCCAGATCTTTCACCTATAGAGAACATTTGGCGCAGCATAAAGAGGAAGGTGCGACAAAGAAGGTCCAAGACGATTGAACAGTTAGAGGCCTGTATTAGACATGAATGGGAGAGCATTCCTATTTCTAAACTTGAGAAACTGGTCTCCTCTGTCCCCAGACGTCTGTTGAGTGTTGTAAGAAGAAGGGGGGATGCCACACAGTGGTAAAAATGGACTTGTCCCAACTTTTTTGGGATTTGTTGACGCCATGAAATTTGGAAACAACAGATTTTTCCCTTAAAATGATACATTCTCTCAGTTTAAACTTTTGATCTGTGATTTGTGTTCTATTCTGAATAAAATATTAGATGTTGGCACCTCCACATCATTGCATTCAGTTTTTATTCACAATTTGTTTAGTGTTCCAACTTTTTTGGAATCTGGTTTGTAGAAAGCAGCTCTCATCCATCCATCATCCATCCACCCATCCATCCATCCATCCATCCATCCATCCCAAGAGTCAGCTTTGGTAAGCCAGGGTCAGAGTACCAATATTCCTGCCTTCAGCTACTGCCCGTGGCATCATGCACCAGACCCATTTGGCCCCTTCTGCAGGTGGTGGGCTAACAGGAAGGCAAACTCATATTACTTTGGGCTTAGTCCAACCAGGCCCCATGAGTAGAGGCCCGGTCACCTGGCGCTCGCCGACAAGCCCCTTCCCCAGGTCTGGCTTCAGGGTTGAGTTCTGATAACTCACGTCTGGGCAAAGGACATTGAGCATCTTGCTGTTGTCTGTCTATACAAGTGTTTTGAATCACTCATTGTCTGGTCTGTCACCTAGAACCAATCTGCCTTGGGAGAACCTACCAGGGACAATTGCCACCAACAGCATAGCCCCTAGAATCATTTAGGCGCACAAACTCCTCCACCATGATATGTTGGCGATTCAAGGAGGAGAAGCAGCTTTTAAAGAAAATGTGTCATTATCGTTTTAATATTACATGTACTGTGAAAGTTTATTTCATACCTCGTTGTAATAGTCAACCACCATCTGAAGGATTTTTTTCAAATTGTTCAACTGAGGAGAAATTTTAAAACAGAAACATCGTTACTAATTCAAAAATAAATCAACAAGGTCAAATAGCAATACAGTAATCAATGATATCCAACACAATACATGAAAGGTACATGAAAGGGCAAAAAAAAAATATACATGCAGACTAGTGCAACAACACAGCAGACGTTATTAATAACATGGTTATTTCTTATGCCCCTAGCAGGATCAGCTGGAGATACAACAAATAACTTAAAGTTAAATAAGGAAACATACTGAAGCACTTCTTAATTGTTTATTTGTTATTCTGTTACTGTTTATGATTTAAAACATCAATAAAAAAAAACAACAACTGGACTTCTATCAAGTAGCTAAAGACTGTTCACTTCCCATCTGAGGAATTTTTTTCCTATTGAAATTCTCCAGGTACTCCAGTTTCCTCCCACAGACCAAAAACATGCATGCGAGTGTCCCGGTGATGGACTGGAGACCTGTCCAGGGCTCTTTCACAGTGATGGCTGGACATAGGTACCAGTGACCCAGAGATCCAAAAAGGAAGAAGCGGGGTAAAATAATGGATGGATTTTATTTTATTTTATTTTATAGTTTTAGTGTGTCTTTATTTTGGTAACTCTTTCCTTGAGTGTTGAAATTATGCCAAGATAAACATGGCAGTAGGGAGGTTTCTTTGTAACCGTTAAGTTTTAACCATTGTTTTAATAACTTTTGTTCTGTTATGGAATTGCTGTGCTCTTTCCGTTAGATCTGCTGTCTGCATTTGTTGCTCACAGGATCAGCTTATCTACTTGAGATCGGCTGTTTTTGTGACTCGACCAGCTGATATACCTTCTAGTATCTGGCAGAAGACCCACAGATGGTGCAGAGAATGACTGAGACGGTGGGGGAAGAGAGTGGCGTTGAGGAAAGAAAGGCTTATAGAGAAAAACAGACATAAGCGGTCTCTCACTTCTCATTACCAGCAATGTGGGATATCTAACCAACAAAATGGAGGAATTAACGGGACTAATCAGGAGCCAGATGGAGTATTGGGAATACAGTAGGATGTGTTACACAGGGACAAAAAATGTAAGAATATGGCATGCACATTTTCCAAGAGAAGTCATGAGAGCAGGCTAAGTCAGAAGCAGCATCACGTAGAGGCAGTGTGTGTTCAATAACAACATTTAGCACATGGTTGAGTTCAGCAAAACATGAAAACAAAAGACGGAAAGGGCAGAAGGTGGACAGGAGACAGTACTTTGTACCTTCAATCTCCAATTGTCTTCAACATCTGTTTTGATACGACTCAACCATCTATCACTGAACCATGCTGGGTCTCTGTAATCACACAGTATTCACAAAAAGCAGGAATGCGTTTTCATTATTTTGAAATTATGCATGTAGAAAAAAAGTTTTTCTAGAAAAAAAGACTATCAATAGATCAAACGGACTGCTTAATTTTTTTCATTTGAACTAACAAGACTGCATTGTAAGTTACAGCATGCTGAAACTTTGCTAATAGAGACAGCAAATTGAGTCAAAAACAAATGTGTGATTTAATTCAAAAAGCAGACTGGCAAAACAAAAATTGAACCCACTCAAAACATGGTCAAAAGCTTCATTTTGTATGTGTTTAAAGTAAAATATGAACTCTTGAACTGTACATTAAAGCAATTGTGCTATTTTTTTAGCCTAAGTTATCTTGTGTAAATAAATGCAGAACACATACAATACAGGTGCTGATCATATAAAAAAAATCGTAAAAAAGTTTATTTCAGTAATTCCATTCAAAAAGTGAAACTTTTCTTTTAATGTTGATTATAACTGACAACTAATGAAAATCCCAAATTCAGTTTCTGTGAAAATTAGAATATTATTACTTAAGACCAATAAAAAAATTATTTTTTATAAATGTTGACCAACTGAAAAGTATGAACATGAAAAGTATGAACATGTCCAGTACTCAATACTTAGTTGTTGCTCCTTTTGCCTGGATTACTGCAGTAATGCGGCGTAGCATGGAGTCAGTCTGTGACACTGCTCAGGTGTTATGAGCCCAGGTTGCTCTGATAGTGGCCTTCACCTCTTCTGAATTGTTGGGTCTGGTGTATCACATCTTCCTCTTCACAGTACTCCATAGATTTTCTGTGGGGTTAAGGTCAGGAGAGTTTGCTGGCCAATTAAGAACAGGGATACTATAATCCTTACACCAGGTACTGGTAACTTTGGCACCGTGTGCAGGTGCCAAGTCCTGTTGGAAAACTAAATCTGCATCTCCATAAAGTTGGTCAGCAGCAGGAAGTGCTCTAAAACTTCCTGGTAGACGGCTGCGTTGACTTTGGACCTCAGAAAACACAGTGGACCAACACCAGCAGCTGACATGGCACCCCAAACCATAACTGACTGTGAAAACTTGACACCGGACCTCAAGCAACATGGATTCTGTGCCCCTCCTCTCTTCCTCCAGACTCTGGGACCTTGATTTCCAAAGGAAATGCAAAATTTACTTTCATCAGGGAACATAACTTTGGACCACTCAGCAGCAGTCCAGTCCTTTTTATCTTTAGCCCAGGCGAGATGCTTCTGATGCTGTCTCTTCTTCCAAGAGTGGCTTGACACGAGGAATGCGACAGCTGAAACCCATGTCTTGCATACTTCTGAGTGTGGTGGTTCCTGAAGCACTGACTCGAGCTGCAGTCCACTCTTTGTAAATCTCCCACACATTTCGGAATGGGTTTTGTTTCACAATCCTCTCCAGGGTGCGGTTGTCCATATTGCTTGGACACTTCGTTGTTTTTTTGTTTTTTTAAACCACATCTTTTCCTTCCCTTCGCCTCTCTATTAATGTGCTTGGACACAGAGCTCTGTGAACAGCCAGCCTCTTTAGTAATGACCTTTTGTGTCTTGCTCTCCTTGTGCCAGGTGTCAATGGTCATCTTTTGGACAAATGTCAAATCTGCAGTCTCCCCCATGATTGTGCAGCCTACAGAACTAGACTGAAAGACCATTTAAAGGCCTTTGCAAGTGTTTTGAGTTAATTAGCTGATTAGAGTGTGACACCAGGTGTCTTCAGTATTGAGCCTTTTCACAATATTCAAATTTTCTGAGATACTGAATTTGGGGTTTTCATTAGTTGTCAGTTATAATAATTAACATTAAAAGTAATAAATGTTTGAAATATATCAGTCTGTGTGAAATGAATGAATATAATATACAAGTTTCACTTTTTGAATGGAATTACTGAAATAAATCAACATTTTCATGATATTCTAATTTTATGACCAGCACCTGCATATTTGAAAAGTGACATTATTTCAACCATTTTCTAATGCACATAGTCCCCCTCACATCTGATGTAGAGCCTGTGACATAGCTGCCCCAGTGGTAAGATCCTCCACTGTTCTGCACGGTGTTGCAGTGTTGAAGGTCTGCAACTGAGACACACAAAATACTAAAATTATTATAAAATTCTTTGAACATTCATCTATGAGCATGAAAGATAAGGAAGATAAATTATTAGAAATATATCACAGAGTCAAATGACAGATGGAGCAGAAATGTCAGAGTCCAGAACGTGGACAGCTAGAGAAACAATGTTCTCAGATGATGGAAAAGAGGGAGGGATAGAAGGATGATCCTTCATAGAACAAGAAAGCCACGAGCAATTTTATGTATACAATGTGTTGATTTCAAATTGTTTATTTTAGAGACACTAAAGCATACACAATGTGACATTGCTATTCTTTGTTCTGTTACCAATTTGATTGTTACAGAAACCAATCTGTTGAGTGCTGAATGTTATTAAAGCTCTCAATCAGACAGCATATGGCTATTGATTTGAAATAGATAAATATGCACGATGTACATGACATGCCTGTAATAAATCCCACCCTATTAAAGCAGCCGGCGATTACATGCCGCACAAGGTGCCCTTATTTTCACTAGAGCACCTGTCCCCCAAAATGTCTGTGCACACCACTGTTGGTCAGTATGATCTAAACCAGGATTAAACTGTGCCTTTTATATTATGGAGTGCTCACTCCATTTAATACCTGCCCTCTGCTCAAGTCGTGAAAGCAAGAGATTATTCATAGTATCAAAGGCAGCAGTAGCAGTATCAAAGTTCTGAGCACTGAAACTGCAAAGCTTCTTGAGTGAACAGTTAACAACACAACAGCTGTTAGCACCTTGCAGATGTTGGATGCTGCCTATCATGGTGCACTAAGATTCATAACTGGCTGTAATCCATCTTACCCATCATTGCACCCTGTATTCACTGGTTAACTGGTCATCATTAACTTCATGTAGACTCTCTCACTGGTACATTTTCATCGTTAAATCACTTCTTGGCCTGTTGCCTTCATACATCTCCTCCTACATGTCTGTGTGAGTGCAGCTACAGCGTGCAGCACTCTCAGGATATTATTACATGCAGTGTTCGCTCAGTGAGAACTGAACTAGGCAAAAGGGCCTTCTCCTACTCTGCTCCCATTTCCTGGAATATCTTGCAAAAAGATCTGAAGCTCTCAACCTTGACCTCTGTGGTTTCAAACATCTGCTAAATTCATGGCAAAAACCAATGCAGACCTGTCCCTGCAAATAAAGGTTGAATGCAAAAAAAAAAAAAAACATGTTAACAAAAATAATCCAAATAGCAACATTCTTTTGTTCAGCATACATCTTACGGTTCATTGGATTAACACTCTAAATCCAACAAAAATCAATAAAGGAGGACAAAAATATTTTCTTTATTCATACTAGGCGATACATTTACGAATGTAGGCTTTACCGGTCTGTTTCTTAAACATTGCGACACTTGGTACCGGTTTACGAGCAGCGTTGCTAAGAAACGGAACTCTACCTGTGAAGTTCAAACTAATCTCTACATTCAGTTCATGGCTTTGTTTGGGAGTGTGTCTGTTTTAATGAGTTTCCCCATCTCTAAGTAGGTAGGGTTGCTTGTCGAAGCTTCCACCAAATACGAACAGGTCAATAAAACTGCTCCGGCGGTTCCATGGACATATCAATTCGGTCACACTCACCCATTTTAAAAGGCTCTCGACCAGCACCGTTTTACTGTTTTCCATTTTGTTCTCGGTTTGGGTAAAATATTCTTCTTCACCTGTCAGCGAACCTCTTCCGCTCTGTTCTTCTGCATTTGACCTTACCTGCTGCCAAAGGTAAATTCCCAACGACAGATTCGTAATGTGAAAAGAAACGGGGACATTTACGCTCTAAAATAACGTAAAAACCTTCGCGAATACTGCTCTTAGAAATTACTTGCGTGTAAGGCGGGATGTTCAGGAGCTAGACACGTTCACCCAATCAGCGTTGAGTTCCAAGAAGATTGACAGCTATTAATCCGAATATTGGCGAAGGGATTCTTTTGCAGATCAAAAGTGGGCGTTTCTGGAGAATAGGCGTTTCTAGAGGGCAAACACTGATTGGCTAGCTGTATTTGTTGGCTCTTTAGGTACTTTTTTTAATTGAAAGAGAGTAAATTACAAAATTATGAAGGCCAATTAACAACCAGTTTTAAGCAACTCTCAACAGGGCACATATAAAATAAACAAGAGTCAATAAACTGAACAAGAAAGTAAGAAGACAAAGTTGTGTGGAATTAGAAAGCAAAGTACAGTGAATAACTAAAAATACACAGAAAGAAAGAGGAAAAAGTTGTGACCTGTGTTGACTGCTTTATGGGTCCAAGAAAAGTCCATGCTGATCTGAGTCCTTTAACAAAACATCTGACCGAGACCAGTGGTGGGATGTAACTAAGTACAAGTACTTCATTACTGCACTTAAGTACACTTTTCATGTATCTGTATTTTACTTAAGTAGAGTTAAACATGGGTACTTTTTACATTTTACATTAAGTATCTGTACTTTCTATTACACTACATTTCTATAATGCGTTGTGTTACAAGTTACATTCATGTCGCAACTTTTTATTTGTTCGTTAATTTGAAAGTAGCCAATGGCGAGAGGGGAGTTGGTCCATTGAATTAATGCAAAGTGGGCAGGTAACGTTAGACCCACCTTAAAGAAGAGCTATATTCTAGTATATATGTCACTGAGCTGGGCGCACCCGCAGCACCGCTAACACACCAAAAATGGATTCCACCGAGGAACGTCAGCCAGAAGATACAGTACGTGCCACCCATGGCCTTATTGAAAGACTATTGAAAGTCTATTGAAAGACTATTGAGAGATTATTCATTACAGCAGGACAGATTCTCTCTCCCAAAATAGCCAGTCTGGACTTAAAAAACTTTGAAAAACAACTTCTTCTGAACTTGAACAAGAAATTCTTGCTGTAATATTAAAATGTGACATGGGATGTTAGGACAGGAGACAAGACATGTCTCCAAATGACTCGACACTCGGGTCCAAGTTTTGAAAATGGTGTCAGGAAGTTAAAATATTGTTCACTATTGACCCATTACAAGGTTGAATAGACAGTATTTTAACTAGAGTTGATGACAAACTGGAGTTTAAATGATCAGTGTCTGTTCCTTTGTTAGTTGTGTCTAATGCTCCTTTTCTCAGGCAGACAACTTTTACTTAAATCTGAGCATGCATCAGGATATTTTACTTAAATGTTTTTACTGCAGTTAAAATGACACATTGGTTTTGCTTTGTGTTAAATAAAAACTTCCAAATGTTAAATCATTCCTCTTTCTTATTTTGATTAATGACATTTAACTCTGCAGGTCATCCCTGAAATTCTGGCGCACAGGATCACAAGTCCAGGTTTAAACTTTGTCACAGAGTAAACACAATAAAAACATGTATTAACTGTAACATTGGGGCAGCACGGTGGCGCAACTGGTAGAGCTGCTGCCTCTCAGCGAGCAGGTCCGTGGTTCAAACCCCGGTCCAGGGGCCTTTCTGGGTGGAGTTTGCATGTTCTCTCCGTGCATGCGTGGGTTTTCTCCGGGTGCTCTGGTTTCCTCCCACAGACCAAAAACATGCATGTTAGGCTGATTGGTAACTCTAAATTGTCCCTAGGTGTGAGTGAGAGAGTGAATGGTTGTTTGTCTCGTTTGTCTCTATGTGGCCCTGTGATGGACTTGCGACCTGTCCAGGGTGTACCCCGCCCCTCGCACAGTGATTGCTGGACATGGGCACCAGTGACCCCCGTGACCCAAAATGGAATAAGCGGGTAAAGATAATGGATGGATGGATGGAACTGTAACATTGTTTATTAAAATGACACAATACTATTAATGTATTACAGAAAATATACATACGGTAGGTACATTTAATGATATTGTAGACCATTGCATTAAGTAATACATTCAGTAAGTACTTTTAGTACTTTAAGTAGTACAGAAGATATATACAGTATATGCTTTAGTCTCTTCAGGATGATAAATGTGTTTTTTAGGTTTTGTTTTAGCCACAGTTTGTAAAAACATAAAATTTAAAGAGTTACTTTATTCTGAAATGAACACACAGCCAATAAATTCATTATTGTACAAAGTATATCAAATTAAGTTTAGGTAATATACCAAGCACATAACAAACAAACTTACCAGACTTTACTCACGTAGCCTGCAAGGACACAATCTGTGCCATTTGTAAATGTCATTGAGTGTGCATCTTTGCTTTTATCTCCTGACTTCATTCTGGGACACTGACCTTCACTTATGCGACTATCTTTAAATGACCTGTACTCTAATGTTTTTTGAAGTGCCAGTGTAAATATTTGTCAAGATATTTCTGTCTGGATTGATGACCAAGTGTTATATCTTTGTTTGCTGTCAGATTTTGCAATAGGTTTATAGTTGCTGACATTTGATTACAGCAGTTTAACTTTTTTTTTTTTTTTGGTATTTCTCTAAATCTTAGACACACATTTTAAATGCCGATAGTCACAAATTATTTTTGACATAATGTTGCATATGAACAATTTTCAACCTTCTTGTGTTTTTTGTTTATATGAAATCAGTGGAACACTGAAATAACTTGTATATTTAGCACCTCAAAATGGTTCCAGGGTTTTCTGGAGTTGCGTGTAATTTTATTTATTTATTTATTTATTTATATTTATATAAATGTATTCATTTTTAAAACAAAACAAAACATTTCTATATACAATAAGAAATACAATCACGAATAAAATGAAAGGCAGCAGAAAGAAGAAAAAAATCTTATTATATCTGCTCCTTTTTTTCAAACAATTAATTCAAACTATAATAATATTCAAATAACAAAACAAAATAAATAACTCCTTCTTGAACAACAATTCAAACAATACACATTAAGCTATTTCATATTTTTTTAACAAATCAGCTTTGATCATTCTCTTAAACATACGCATTGTTCTGGCATTTTTAACATCACTCTCCAGATTATTCCATAATCTAATTCCTTGGATTGAGGTAGACCGACCCTTAGTTCTTAATTTCGGTTTCACAAATATCTCTATCCCTTTAAGATTATAACAACTTTCTCTTTTAACAAAAATTTATTTGTATATTTAAAGGTAATGTATTATTATGAGTCCTATACAAAACTGATAAAATACTATAATCTACCAAATCATGGAACGTCAATAACTTCAATTGATAAAATAAAGTACTTGATGACTTAAATGTTTTCTAGTAATAATTCTTACAGCTCTTTTCTGTAAAACAAAAATAGGATTTGTAAAAGTTTAAATTTTATGTGGACTGTGTGTGTTTTGGGTTGTCATGTTGAAATTCTAGAAAACCCAATAAAAGGCGTCTGCATTTATCATTCATCTGATGAAATTATGTTCGTCCCTGTGGTCTCAGTAGCTATATCTTAGTAGCTCGACCTGCATTGTTTACTGGATCGATCTAACCCCTGCAGCCTGTCCATCAAAATATCCTTTGTCAATAAAATGTTCTTTGGGTGGGTTTTAGGTAAACTTCCAGCAGTATGGTTTGTCCTTTAATGAGGAATTTCTTCTGTTCCAAAGAGCTTTTGGTGTCGAGCTGTGCTACATTTTGTTCCTAATTTCTTGTCTGTTTCCTGTCTGACCAAGACTCTTCATGTCTGAGTCCTCCCTTTAGCTGAGGATCCAGACATATAAGTCCATTAGATCATTTTCTAGATCTCCTGGCATGGTTTCACTCTGACATCTGGTTTCCTCCCACAGACCAAAAACATGCATGTTAGGCTGCCTTCAGGGCCAGGCCTCCCTTGCAGAAGAGTTCTGTGATCTCAATGGGTTTTGTCTGGTTAAATAAAGGTTAATAAATAAAAATACTCTTACAACTTGGAGTTTTTATGTTGGGAACTGAGCTATCATGGTTCAGGTTCAGGGAACTTGTGGAGCTGGACAACAACAAAGCTTCAAAAACTTCACAAGAACTGGGAAACACACCTGAACTTTACTGTAAATTCAATAACAAAACATCTGTATGCTTTGGGAATTGTACATTTTACTTTTTAATTGTGTATAAAGCAATTCACAAACTTGATTTCTGATTGGTTACAGTGAGAAATGAATGTAAATAATTTTGTTTAAAATCTGTTTAAAATGTGTATAAAATCAGTTTGAAATTTCCAAAATGTCAGTCCTTGTCCTCTGAACAATGACATCTGATTGATTTTATTACAGAGTGAGTGAAATATTAGACAAGGACTTTGCAAAGTAAACCAAAAGTAAATGATTGCCTAGTTTCAATCGTTCTCACCAAACACGGTGTAGGAGGGAACCTCTGCAGTTGATCTGATCATGTGATCCACATACTTTGCCTGTGACCTGACTGAAAGGAGACACGTGCTCATTTTATAATTAGATTATCCAAATACTTTTCCTACAATCAGATCACAGTCGAGTTAAAAGTGAATAGCGTGTTTTCGAAGTGTTTTCTCAGTAAATATTTTTTTATTGATCTGTCGTGCTTCCTTCAAGTAAAAAAGCCCCAGCTGATATAGAAGAGTTGATCATTAACCAAGAGGCCCCATTTATTAAGTAAAGTGATGCTGTCAGGCAGCACTTCACTTCCTGCTAGGAAACAGTGACTGTCTGTTTCAGACACGACTGCTTTTAGAAGAACTGTCCAGCTCTGACACATCTCAGTCCAGGTTTGTCACATTTTCTCCTGTTACTAACAAAAATTAAGTTATGCATTTTTTTTTAAAGCCACTGATTTAACTTAGAACTGGGTCAATTTTAGCTTAGAAGTATGCTTTGAGCTTCAAGCTTCCTAAATGTACGTATTTAAACATAATTTGAACCGAAACATAAAACAGTCAGAGAACTTTTATGGCACGATTTTCTGAAGCTTTTCTTCTGTGTTAGAAACTGTTTGGACATCTTTACTGATTGCTGTGAAGGTATTTTACTAATAAAAAGACAAAATGGGAAGAAGGTCTTTGATGGTGTCAAATCAAAGATAGGATACTTTAATTTGATTATTGGTATTTAATTATTCAATTTAAAAAACATGTTTTATAAATGTTAAGCTGCTCTGATTTGAGCATCAGTACCTGTGACCCACAAACATAAATGAGCTGAGTTTAGTCAGCCTTATCTCACCAGTCATTGGTGATGTATTAATATATATTTCAGATGTTTTTATCATTGCCAACTCATCATGTCATGTTTCAGACTGAACCACCTCCAACGTGACGCTCCAGTGAGTCAGGATCTCTCATTCAAAGCACCGACGTGCACACTTGGGCTGACAAAAACTATGTGCACGCACTGCCCTGAGGTGAGCGTGACACTGGCCTTCTGCAAGTTCTTTTGTTTTTACACGTTCAGTAGATCTATTTAGTTTCTTTCTGCCTGAAAGTTCCCTGATTATGATTTTATTAATAAATAAGCTGGAAAGACTTATAGCAAACCAGACCATACTAATGGAGCTGTTTTTCAACATGTTGCTAATTCTTAAAGGAAAAATATAAAAATATTTGGTCAGCGGGTATAATTTTTTCAAACAAAATTCTTTTGGACATATTTTCTAAATGTGTTGGGTTTTCCTGCCTCTCATTTCCCAGATGTTCTCTTTTTCTGCCACCTCTGTAGGAATCAGCACAGACATGTGTGTCTCTGAGTAGACGAGACCGGCACTGTCCGGTCTGCCTGCAGACGGCCAAATTCCCAGTCCAGACCAACTGCGGCCATTTATTCTGTGGTGAGAGATTACACACACGCAACATAAACTGGTTTGTTTCCTGGCAGTAAATGTATTTAATCAGACCAGTTACTCTTGGTGTCATCTGTGCAGTCATCATTAAAACTGAAAAAAATGATTTATCTGAAACATACTTTTTATATAATTTGTTCTCTGAGCGGTATGGTGTCAGTGTGATGCTGCAATGGAGCTTTGTCTGCTCCAATACAATTTATCTCTGCTGCTGGTAGTAAAAAAAAAACAAAAAAACAACAATGCTATTATCTGGCTTGAGAAATGTATTTAAATTACAACTCTTCATAAACACATAAACGAATAAGACGATAGAAAACAATGAAATTAACCAGGAAAAGCTTTATTTTATGTTGTAGAAATGTTTTTCATCTTGAACAAGACAATTACTCATTTCAAAATGAACACATCTGTCCCCAGGGGAGAGTTGGTATTTATGACACAAATGCACTTTCTATTAAAAATTACGAAGCAGATCCTCATCCTCATGTTTATCATCAGACTTGGCTCTACCCTACAGCAGCATTATCTGTCTTTAACATTTATTTAACCTTCAACATTAAAAACCTTTAGTTTATTATAACAATATTAGTTTTACAAACCGGATTCCAAAAAAGTTGGGACACTAAACAAATTGTGAATAAAAACTGAATGCAATGATGTGGAGAAGGCAAATGTCAATATTTTATTCGTAATATAACATAGATGACAGATCAAAAGTTTAAGCTGAGTAAATGTAACATTTTAAAGGAAAAATATGTTGATTCAAAATTTCACAGTGTCAACAAATCCCAAAACATTTGGGACAAGTAGCAATAAGTGGCTGGCAAAAGGAAATTGAGCATATAACAAACAGCTGGAAGACCAATTAACACTAATTAGATCAACTGACAACATGATTAGGTATAAAAAGAGCTTCTCAGAGTGTCAGTGTCTCTCAGAAGCCAAGATGGTAAGAGGATCGCCAATTCCACCATTGTTGTGCAGAAAGATAGTACAGCAATACCAGAATGATGTTACCCAGCATAAAATAGCAAAGACTTTTAAGTTATCATCATCAACCGCTCCTGTTTCCTGGAATACCTTACAAAAACAATTGAAGCTCTCGACCTTGACCTCTCTAAGTGACTTTAAGAATCTGTTGGACTCCAGGCAGGGACCAATGCAGACATGTTCATGTTTTTAGTTTTCTACATTTGCCTTAGAATCTAGCTGTTTTTTTGTTACCTTTTTCTTTTAGCCATCCTATTTGTTTAAAAAAAAAAAAAAAAAACTGGAGTATGACTTTTTATAATTGTTTATTGTTGTCGCTGTTGTACATTGTTGTCATCATTCTTTGTTGAAATCAGGTCTTTCTTGTAAATGAGTCCTCGAAGCTCAATGGGATTTACCTGTCTAAATAAAGGTTGAATTGAATGAAAAAACCGTGCATAACATCATCGAAAGATTCCGAGAATGTGGAACAATCGCTATGCATAAGGGTCAAGGCCGTAAAATTCTACTGGATGCTCGTGATCTCCGGGCCCTTAAACGCCACTGTCAAGGAAATAACAGAATGGGCTCAGGAATACTTCCAGAAAGCATTGTCAGTGAACACAATCCACCATGCCATCCGCCGTTGCCAGCTGAAACTCTACAGTGCAAAGAGGAAGCCATTTCTAAGCAAGCTCCACAAGCTCAGACGTTCGCACTGGGCCAGAGGTCATTTAAAATGGAGTGTGGCAAAATGGAAGACTGTTCTGTGGTCAGATGAGTCACGATTTGAAGTTCTTTATGGAACACTGGGACACCATGTCATCTGGACCAGAGAGGACAAGGATAGCCCAAGTTGTTATCAACGCTCCGTTCAGAAGCCTGCATCACTGATGGTATGGGGTTGCATGAGCGCTTGTGGCATGGGCAGCTTGCATGTCTGGAAAGGCACCATTAATGCAGAGAACTATGTTCAGGTTCTAGAACAACATATGCTCCCATCTAGACGTCATCTCTTTCAGGGAAGACCCTGCATTTTTCAACATGATAATGCCAGACCACATTCTGAAGCAATCACATCATGGCTACCTAGGAGAAGGATCCGGGTACTGAAATGGCCAGCCTGCAGTCCAGATCTTTCACCTATAGAGAACATTTGGCGCATCATAAAGAGGAAGGTGGGACAAAGAAGGCCCAAGACGATTGAACAGTTAGAGGCCTGTATTAGACATGAATGGGAGAGCATTCATATTTGTAAACTTGAGAAACTGGTCTCCTCTGTCCCCAGACGTCTGTTGAGTGTTGTAAGAAGAAGGGGGGATGCTACACAGTGGTAAAAATGGACTTGTCCCAACTTTTTGGGATTTGTTGACGCCATGAAATTTGGAAACAACAGATTTTTCCCTTAAAATGATACATTCTCTCAGTTTAAACTTTTGATCTGTGATTTGTGTTCTATTCTGAATAAAATATTAGATGTTGGCACCTCCACATCATTGCATTCAGTTTTTATTCACAATTTGTTTAGTGTCCCAACTTTTTTGGAATCCGGTTTGTATATTTGTTTGTTGATTTTCTGTTGTTAATAAGGTTTATACTTGTTGTAAACCATACTGAAAGTTGTTTTATACCTCAGCTTCCTGCCTGCTCACCTACTGGAAACACGGCTCATGGTTAGATGCCATCAGCTGTCCTCTCTGCAGACAAAAGGTACGATCCATTCCATGACTTTACTGTTAATTATGAACACGTTAAGTGATGATGATGCAACGTAATAAAAATGACTATGACTTTTCCAGGTCAGTGTGCTGTGTAACCTGTTCACAGAGAGTCAGTTAGACCAGCAGTCGAACAAAGTTCTTGGGGAAATCACAGATTACAACAAACGCTACTCTGGAGCCCCAAGAAGGGTCAGTACTCAACCAGTGCCTGTTGAAGAGTCAGCCGTAACGGCTCTCGTTTAAAGCCTTGAATGTAATCAGATCAGACTGAAGACACATGAGAATTATTCCTCTTAGGTTTGGGAACAGAAATACTTGTTCTGCAGCTTTTAGGATGTATTGTTCTGAACAAAGGAACGGTGTAAAATTAAAGATCGGGTTAACACCAAATGGCACACCCAGATGGTGGCAACCGATTTCACACAAAAAGCTCCTTTAAGATTAAAGCACTCGCATAAGTCACATCAGTCCAAAATGTCTAATAAAGTGGAAAAAAACATAAATACGTTGCTTCTCCATATAAGTCGCATCAATTATGAATCACTGCTGACAACCCAGCAACGTGGGCCGGTGTTGTGTCATACATTGATTGGCTGCCAAATGGCGGCCGCGGAAGTGTGCTTTAACAAGATTAACACTTAAAAACAATTATTTGTTTGCTCAAAATTATATTAAAGGTGTGTCTCGGTTGAACTTTTCCTTAATAAATGTGCTTTAATGGTCAAATCAGCTGCATTTCGTCTGGGTGGTGCTGTGAAATGTAGCTGATTTGACGTTTGCTCCAGGAGTTCTGGAGTGAGACGAAAGTGGCTTGGTATGGCAATCCAAGTGTCTCTCATGCCACTTTTACCTGTTAATAAGACATTTGGCTTGCCATATTACTCGAGCACCCTCTCGTGGCTGAAAATGGTAGTGTTCAATATTTTTAACAAAATAAATAAAATGCTATGTGTTGTCATCATTGTATGTTCCCATACAAAGGCAAAATTGGCTCTCTGCATTTAACCCATCACACCTGGGATACACCCAGGTGGAGCAGTGGGCAGCTATGTAAGCACCCGGGGAGCAACTCGGGATTAGGTGTCCTGCTCAGAGACACCACGAGATGTGCAATGACTGGGGGATCAAACCCAGGACCTTCGGGCCCTGAGTCAGCTGCCCTGCCCCTACACCGTCTCAGCCCACAAATAACATTTCCATGTCAGAATGAATGAAATCCTCAGATCTCAGCCAAAAATTAGTTATAAATATGGGAAAAAACATAAATAAGTTGCTTTGCTGTATAAGTCACAGGACGTGCTAATTTATGCAAAAAGCTGCGACTTATACAGCAAAAAATATGGTATTTTCTGTTCAAACATGTGAAGTCACACTGTTTAAGTGTTACCATGAGATTTCCAGTCTGTAATCTGTTTTTCCTTCTTGACTCCAGGTAACGGACTACCTGTGTGACGCCCCTCTCCTCCTACAGTTAATGGCTCGTGGCCTGGGCACCATGGGGGGTCTCGTGTGGCTGTTTCTCTTCAGGGTGGCCTTGTGCTGTGTGGGGACGGTGGTGTCCACCTCCTCTTCACCTGTAGACACTTTGTCTCCATCAGAGAACCCCCTGGAAACAGACTTTGCACTTTGCGGACTGTTGGGGGCCCTGGACGACCTGGTGGTGGTGGTTCTGCTGCTCATCTGTGTTCTTAACACCAACCAGCAAATGGAACCAGAGAGAGGAACCTCTCCAACTTCACAGGGACTGATGGGGAGCTCAATGTAGGTGGAGGAAACAACTACCTGAAACTGACTTTGATTGTGTTTCTGTTTATTATAAGTTGGATTAGTCAGAGAGGGAATGTTGATATTTGTACAGTTTAAGTCTGGAGGTCAATGGTGTCTGGTACTCTTGGACTCCAGACTGGTTTATCAAGTGTTCACAAAGCTTATAGAAGTCTAAACTAATGCAGCGTGGTGGTCCAGCTGTTGTTACAAACTCCCAAGCTCCTTAGCTATGAAGAGCTCAAATCTGGCCTTTTTCTAAAACCAGTTTACAGAAAAACACGTCGACTTGATGGAAATGGCTTTTTTTTTTTTTAAAGCTCACCATTTATCTGTTCTGTATTTTCGTCCGTTTCAGTTGTCATGTTAGCACTCGGTTAAGATCTTTGTAAATGTGTGATATTGTATGAGTGTGTGTTTTTACGGTTAAAATAAACTATATTTATTGTCCTGCACTGCTTCTTTTTAATCATGTCACACAGCAGGTTTTAAATGGATTTATTAGTGTGGTTTGGATAGTTTCAAAGGCACAACTGATAAGAGTGAGCATTCCTCACTAGTGTGCTGTGGTTTTGGAAATTATGAAATGTAAACAAAGTTTGCAGGGCGTAAAGTTTTAGGCATCTCAGAAACAAGAACAAGTCACAGCAACAACACACAGACACCAAATTCAAGGTTCACAACAATTAAAAAGGTGCATGAGGTAAAGCTTGCACATTGGACAACTCTGGGATTATGTAAAGGCAGGATTTTAATCTGAGTTGCTGCACCAGGCGACTGCGTTCTTGAACATGCGCAGCCAGGGTGAAGGTGTGAGGGAAGGCCTGAGGGCCCTCGGAGCCCAGGGCCACTGCCAGCTCAGGGTGCAGCGCTCAGGATGGGGCATCATGGCCAGGTGTCTGCCGTCCTGGGAGGTCAACCCTGCAACACCCCGAGGTGAGCCATTAGGGTTTAGAGGATAGTCTTCAGTGGGACAACCCTGATCATTGAGGTAACAAATGGGTGCAAGTCCACTGGAAATGATCTTGTCTTGGGCCTGAGAGCTACGGAACTGCATCTGACCTGCAGGAGGGAAAGAATGGTAAATTATTTATACAGCACCTCAAAGCTCTTTACAACAGTCTGTGCCTCATTTACCTCCACACACACTCATACAGTAATCCACTAGATTTCTACAACGCTAATCTGAACAAGAGACTAATCAGAGCTTTAGATCACATTTATGAATGTGATCACCGATGGGAGACACATCAGAGGCAATGAGGGGTTCAGTCTTGCAGGGATCTGCAACTTTTATGATCAAAAGAGCCATTTCTGCCCCTTCGTTCACTAAATTAAATGTGTCCAGAGCTGCACAACCTGCTACAACTGAGATTAGCAACTAGTGGCCCGTGGACCACTTTAGGTTTGTTGGAGGGAGCTTTTCTGGTCAGTAGGGGTGACATTAGAAAACTAAAAATATGTAATAATTTGAACGTTTGTTGATTTTTTACGTTTTAGGGCAAAATAAAACCATATTCTTGTAAAGAAGGGGAAAAATAGAATAGTTTTTACCTTTTTTATTATTATTATTATTATTAAAACAATGAACTATGCAGGCCTATGTGATTTTTTAAAAACTGTGGAACAATTAATTAATTATTCTACTTTGAAGAAATAAAGAATAAAGTTAAAGTGAGTATGTTTTGCTCCTTGTATTAATACTAGTATTCGCATATTTGCTAAATAAATCAGAGAAAAACGGCTAAAACCAGCCCCTTGTTCTTGTTGTTTGGTATAACAACCAATATAAATCAGTTTTTGTTAGTTTTGGACAAAGTTTGTAAGAGTCAATGCTGCAAATCAATATCAGACCTCAGCGGCTGAATAAAGAAAGACCTGATGGTTCAACAAAACTAATCAGCTTTGTGGAAGATCAAAACGTTCACACTGATTTATTTGTGCTCACTTGCAGCACCAGAACACACACGGTTCTGACCTCACCTTCTCCATGTGCGACCCACACTCCCAGTGCAGAGCCCTCCATGCCTCCGAGCCAAATGGACGGAGACTTCTGAATCCCAACGCTGACAAACCGTGACTCAAACCTGCCAGACTTATTATGGGTCAGTACGACTTCAGAGTCTGACCAGAGAGAGGACAAAACCACAATTCAGTCATGGAACATACTTTAAAAATGTCTTGAACATTAATCACAGATAATCTGCTTGAGCACTGTCTTGTTTAACTTCCACAGTTAGGAGAATGATTTTTTCTTTCCTATCTTACCAGCTCCATCCTCAGCCTCTCCCACCCAGCCCAGCAAGACGAGCAGCTGGCAGCCGTTACACACCCCCAGACTCACGGTGTCTTGTCTCCGCTGGAAGTGATCAAACTCAGCCTTAGCCTTGGGGTTGTAGGCAACAGTTGCAGCCCAGCCTTTAAGAACCAGATACATTAAAAACAACCTGCCGTCTTAAAGTGGGTCATAACTGGGTGTACATGTGATGTTTTATAAACCTTTAGCTGATCCCAGGACGTCTGCGTAACTGAACCCCCCGACAAACACGACAGCTTTGAAAGGCTCAAGGGTTAAAGAGCCAGAGCAGAGATCCTGCATGGTGACGTCCCAGACCTACGCAACAATATGATTTATGATTTTAAAAGCTAAACTCATGAAGAGAACTTGCACAGATTTAACAGATCGCTCATGGAGCTGTTGTTATTTACCTCGAAGCCCGCCATGTACAAAGAGACAGACATCTCTCGATCTCCGTTGCTGCCCTCCTCTCGGACTACAGCAACCCGTGGAGGCCCTGCAGCTAAAAGAAAATCACATTTCAAAGATGGCTTTATAATAAAGATGACAAAAAGAGTTGCAGTAATAAAATATTAGAGCCACTCTTACAAGGCTGGCGGATGCTGGGTGTTTCAGACGGGTCAAAGGTGAGTTTGAAGTATGGCTGTGTTCTCTTGGAAAGACCCGCCTCTTCCTGTTTTACACAGAGCTCGTTGGCCTGGAGGCGCTCGAGCTGAAAACTAGTGTCCTCCCAAACTGCTCTGAGATCAGGCAGTGATTCATGCAGCACCTCCTGCCCATCCACTTGAATTCTGACCTGAGTGCAACAAAAGACAACAATCAACACAAGTACAGAGGAGAGGCCTTTAGTCTCGGTCCATACACAGAAAGACTTCTCACCGTTGCTTCTGGCCCAAATCCACAGGTTGTTCCAACACGACGGCACTCCACGCCTGCACTGCTGTAACTCTGACGGACCGTTTCTACATGAGACTGTGAAACCTCCAGGATCAAACCTAGCTCCTCACTGAAGAGCAGCTCCATGACTAAACCGGAGGCAGCAAACACAGCACAGGTTTACTGAACAGCTACAAGTCACAGAGAAATAAAGACAAACAGACAAACTCGATGACCTCCACATTCTCCTAACGAGAGCTCGATGTCAAGCCCCCGATTTCCTGCAAACGCCATTTCCAACAGGCAGGAGATGAGGCCTCCATCGCTGATGTCATGACCTGCGCTGAGCACACGATCTGAAAGCACAAAGAAATATAGATTCAATGTCTGACACTTTTAAAAACAGATGAAAATTTGTTTAAAAAAATTATGTTTAAATTTCTTGAAAAGTAACAATGCTGCCTTCAATGCACACTCAGACCACCAGGCGGCAGCAGTCCACGGTGCAAACCACATGATAGAACTAAAATAAAACTAAATATTTGTTTCCTACAGAATGAAGCCAAGTAAAGACATTATACAGTTTTTCTCTCTCTAAATGTAAAAGCCAACAGATTTCCAGACTCACTTTGCACGAGCTTCTGAGTGGTGTTGAAGCATGCCGTCAATAGTCCTGGCTGGTCCAGGTCAGGAGAGCGGTCTCCAAGTTGCCTGTAGCACTGAGCCAGGGCAGAACCTCCCAAACGATGACGGCCCGGACTTAGAGGGACCCACAACAACACACCTGCAGACAAAACAAAAAGCAGATTGAAAGAAGGAAACATGCATGTGTGTGTGTGTTCGATGTGTCAAGTCTCATTGAAAAAACACAAACGGGCACAAACGACATTACGCAGGCCATAAAAAAAACAAAGATATTTCACATTTTCAAAGTTATTCCTCTATCACAGCAAACCAGTCAGAAATACTCTTCTGACTGGTTCTACTGGAGGCTCTGTGTTTGAACAGGGTCAGCTTTGTGTCTGTCAGCATGTTACACCTTTGCCATCTGGATCCTCCAGGTCAGGCGTCACTGTGGCAGTGACGTCAGGACAAACAGCGTACGCAGAGATCACCAGAGCACCTGCCGAGAAGCAGAGCAAACGCTTTGTACAACATGAACTACACGAACCTACGCACACACACACTGACACACACCGACAATGACCTGGAGCCTTGACGGTCTCCGTCCCCACTCTTGCTGCCATACTCAGAGAGTCCTTGCCCCCATCGATGGCTACTCCAAGTTGACCCATGACCTCACACATGGCTTTGCAGGCCTCCCACAGACACACCCCTTCCCCAGGCAGTTTGGCAGCCCACATCCAGTTCCCACTACATTTCACATCCTGAAACACATCAATGAAATTTAAAAAAATACTTATTTTACTGTATTGTGTTAACGTTAGTCTACAAGATGCTGAAGTCAGATTGAAGTATTTTCAGTTTATTTAAGGTGTTTAATTGAGTAAGGTGGGTCCACCTTCAGCGCTGTGACTCGGGCAAACACCAGATTGGTCAGGGCCTCTCCAACAGCCATGCGAGCCCCCGCTGCAGGACAGAGCAGCCCTTTGATTGGCTGCTCACCGAGTGCGGTTGCGGCTCCCTCCAGGCCAAATGGCGAAAGAGCGACGACGGCCACGTCAGCCAGAGGGGTGTGAAGAGGGCCGACGCACTGTTGCTGGGCAACCAGCCCCGTCACCGACCTGTCCACCTGAAGAGAGCGGGGACATGCAGAGTCACAGCATGTCTGCAGTTTATTTTACTGGCAGAAAAGACGTTCCACCAGGACGTAACAGCACCTTGTTGGTGAGGTAGCGCTTGGAGGCGACAGCAGGCAGTCGTAAAACACGCTGCAGGGCGTCTTTTACTGTCAGACCAGCAGGAAGACACAGTGACTGATGGGTTAGGGCTCGACGCTCCATCTTAAATTCTTTCTGTGGCATTTTGCCCAGAACCCACTCCAGCTGCAGGTCGACAGGATGGCGCACACACTCTGCCTGCACGCCCCGCTCATCGTCCACCAGCACAATCTGTGAAAAACGACACAGATAAACATAAATCTGTTCTGCAAGGCTGAGGGTGACCAACAGGACGAGCCAACCAGCAACCAGTGATGACGTGCCTTTCCATCTCCTGTGATTTGTCCCACAAAGTCCACAGGACACTTCTCCCTCTGACAAACCCTCTCTAGAAAAGACTTGTCTGATGGACGCAGCAGAAGAGCGTTGCTCTCCTGATACTCGGCGCCCCACAGCTCCAACACGCTCAGCGTTGGGTCACCTTTCTACACAGACGCAGGAAGCAAAGACAAACTAAAACACTTCAAAGATATCAATTTAAAGAAAGCACAGTAATTCTTTTGCAGATGTGAACCAAACGTTCTGCAGCTGGTGACCTTGAACCTGCTGCAGTAGATCACAGCACCTGCTGGCTCGCTGAGCTCCTTCAGCACGTTACCTAAAGAAAACATGTTTATAAACGTTTATTCATGTAACAGCAGTAAATTTATAAAACTAAAAAGTATTTAGTTTGGCACCATTTCCTCCTGCTCCCTGATCATGAATACTACAGATGGGGTTCTCATTGGTTCTTTCCAAACACGCCCTGAGAACCCGATTCATCTTCTGCTCCATCTCAGCGTCTCCCCTCTGGACCGCCCCCAGATCTCTGTCACTGCAGTTGTCCCCTTGAACCTACAACCACAAAAACATCTATAAATGTCTACAATAATGCCACTAATGGAACCAATGGGATTTACAGAAACATTTTTACTTGAACAGAAGAAGCTGCTCCTCCTCCTAAACCGATGCGATACACCGGTCCTCCGATCTTCACCACCTCCATCCCTTATTGAAGCAGCAGCCAAGTTTGAGTCCTTTTATGTTTGAAAGCTTTAGACACCGCTCAGACACACAGAGTTGAACTATTACCAGGTTTGGCCTCTTCCTTCTTCACATGCACGTCCTCAATAGACCCGAGACCACCACTGAACATGATGGGCTTAATCCACTCTCGTCGCTCCGCATTAGCCAGCCGCATGCCGAAAGAGCGAGCAAAACCTGAAGGAGGAGGATCCAGTACTTATGGTGGAAAACAGTTAAGCACATTAAGGTTTTGTTTAAGTCTGAAAACACATTTCCTGTAGTAAAAGCAGCTGGCTCTCCTGGTTTGACTCCATATAAAAAAATAAACTGCTACATGTTTAGGTTTGTTGTCATACGCAGATCAACAACACAATGAAATGCTCAGGAAGAGAAGAACCATCTCGACTCACCAAAACAACAAGAAATACCAAAGCATGCAGCAAAAATACAATAACAAGGCATCAAAAGTGAAAAAGAAATGCATCTAGAGCAGCACGGTCCTATTAGTATGGTTCCTGTTTTCCCTTATTAGTGCTGCAGCAGGTGTCAGTGTTTTCTCTTACCTGCCAGGACAGGTTCACCAAATTTGTTGCCGTAGTCCGATGCTCCGTCGCTGGCCTCGACTGCAACCTGGAGAGGGGAGGCGAAGCTGGACGGATACTCCCATCCCTCTCCTTCAGACTCCCAGGGAAGACGGTATCCTGAAGAGAACAGACAGTAACGTCAGCCTTTTTAAAGGAGATTTTCTCTATGCTTATTGAATGTATGAAAATTTATTCAATATATTTATCTAAATTATGTCTTTGAGTACATTTTAGGGACTAATTCTTCTCTACATTTAAAGCCTATCAACTGACATGGGCACTGGCGACCCCCGCGACCCAAAAAAAGGAAAAAGCAGGTAAAGATGATGGATATATAT